AGAGGATATTTCAGTGTTAACTTTCCATGATATGAATTATTTATCAGCGAAGTGAAATGAGTTTAATTTGTTCAGAACGCCTCGGCGATCAGCGAAAACCAGGCCACGGAGAGGGAGAAGATTCTACGGGAAGAACTGGATTCCATGAAGCAGCGGTGTGCTGAAGTCACGGAGAGGACCCGGGATTGTATCCTGCAGGATAGCAGCTCGCAGACACAGGTATAGTCATGTCAGGGTGCCGTGTGCCGAGAAATGTAATGCAACCCTGCCTGGGCACTGTTGACTTTTCCTTTGAGTATCAAATGATAGCTGCTGATAGCAGTAGGAGGGGGCGGGTTTTCCTTGTTGATAGGACAGATTGGCTCCTGTCTATGGTTACTGTAGTGTTGTCAGGAGTTGTCTGTCTCAGCTTAGCTATAGCAAAGTCACTCCAAGCTAATGACATATTGTTTTGTGTTTACATGAAGCCAGATCTGCCGTCACTTTCTTGTCCTTGTCTCATTTTTTTTATCCTTTATGAACAAATAGCATAAGGCGGTGTTGTGTGCATCACCGCCTCTCTCTATTATTAGAGGAAGGGGAAAGATTGCACTTTATTTTTATGTGGGCACCGGAATGACAGGATTCTTGTCTCTGTTGTCCTATTTACCTTTGCAAAAACTCACGCAGGATGAAGCAGTCGCTGAGCCGGAGAAAAGAGAACAAGGGTCAGAATGCTTACAAGGAGAGAAGGGATTGGAGGAGAGCAAGAGTGTCACGGAGGACCCCAGCGGAGAGAGGTGCGTGGCATTCATTCCATCCACCAGTAGAATGATTCCTTCTATATGTGGCTTTGTTGTGGTCAGTGTATCAATGTCACTTTTGTGAAATAGTTTTGTGTGTAAAGCAGAGATATCCTTCCTTTGAAATCTAAGTATTTGGAAAACAAGTGCTGACATATGTATAATATAACGTGTGTGGAGTTTACATACACCTCTTGGGTACCTTTTGGAATAGTTTTCAGGAGTAATATTAGTCTGTCGTAAAATATGACATAAGCTGGAACCAGACTTTTTCATTTTTGGCAGATGTGTTATTCTCTAGGTCTAGTTCACACCAGCCCCGGTGCGTTCCTGCCAGATTCGGCCTGCGTTCTGGGGCTGGAAGTCAATGGCACTGGAGCCACATGCCCCCCTACCGCAGTGTGATCGTCTGCACCCGAACGCGTTAAACATTAATGCTTGCGTTCCAGTCTGGTGCAGTCGGAAAAAATGGTGCATGCACTATTTTTTCTAAGCGGACTGGAACGCAGGCATTGATATGCCACATGCTCGGGTGCGTGCGCACTGCGGCCGGGGTGTGTGGGGCTGTGGTGCTGTTGATTTCAATGCACCGCCATGCCCCCTCCCACCCTAGAACACAGGGATCCGGCCGGGATGCGATCCAGTGCGTACCAGCACCAAATCGGGCCAGAACGCACTGGGGCTGGTGTGAACTAGCCCTTAAATGAATGAGCAGTGACATGTACTTAGCATTTCACGTTAATGCACATTCTAGCACATGCCTGAATGTTGACGTGTTTTCATTAAGCAGCCACAGCCTGAGTAGAGAAGCCTGTCTCCTGCCAGCATGCTGCAGAGAAGGACACTTGCTCTCTGTGTGCAAGCATTAATCTCTCTGCAGAGGTCTGCCACTCCCCCTACTGAGTCAGACCTATAGCTGTGCAATCAGGAAAGCTCATGCTCCATGCCGATTAGAAATCTTACTCAGCAGGGGTCATGACCATCTTTACAAAGACACCGCTGCATCCGCATAGAGAGTAAGCGGCACTGCAGCATGCTGGCAGGGGACAGGCTTTTCTCTTCAGACTGTGGCTGCAATGTAGCCTTGCAATCAGGAAAGCTCATGCGCCATGCTGATTAGAAATCTTACTCAGCAGGGGGCATGACCATCTCTACAAGGAGACTACTGCGTCCATGTAGAGAGCAAGGGGCTCTGCAGCATGCTGGCAGGGGACAGGCTTTTCTACTCAGACTGTGGCTGATTTTTAAGGAAAATAACCTGTATCACTTTGCACACCTTTTGTGTACATGCCCTTCAAATGTATTAGCTGGTTTAAATTGAGGGTTCAATTGGGCTTTATTTGAGGAGTAATAATGCCACTCAGGTAAAATATAACTGAAATGTAACTTTATATATGTAGCGCGAGATCCATCTATACTAGTAATGTTACACCTTTTATTCCTCTCTTTATTTATAAAGTAGTGATGTCACGGTTGTAAGAATAGACCACCTTTAGAAAGTCGTAAATTCATATATGGCTGTTCATAGTAACGGCAGCATGGTTTGAGTCACGTGGCTCATTTGGAAAGTGAAAGGGGACATCAGATTGGTTGCAGTGGAGTATTAATAAGCCGTAGGATATAATCTGGCCATTCTGATGGTAAAAGCCGAGACCTGTGCAGTTATTTTGTAAGAACTAACAGCTGCCTGCCTGGCTGTTCTGTTCCTTTACCTGTTGACAGACTGTGTCTGTCATGTCTGTCCCACGTGTGCGCTGTGTGTACAGTTTCAACAATTGTCCTTCCTCTTGTTTCCTGGAAAAACCTGAAATGTGATCTCTTCTTGTTGTCTGGCAGCGTTTATAATTTAAATGTCTTCACTTGAAGTAAACTGAAAATGCGAGGCCAACATAAGTCTCTAAGAACGAGTGGAAAAGGTTTCCGGCATGTGTTTAGTCCTGCCCCGAGCAATAGTAAAGAAGTTACTATATATGTATATATATGTATATATGTGTATGTATGTATGTATATATATATATATACACACACGCTTCCCTTTTAAAATAGAAAAAGAGATTGAGGACACAGAACCCTAAATATCTTTTTCTGCAGCCCCTGTTATGAATGAACAGGAAACCTCTATACTGAGTGCTCCTGTTCACAAACTGGATATAGTAACAGTTACTTCGTCCACAATCCATAAATGAACAGGAAGTGATGTAGAGCACTTCCTGTTCATTCATAACTGGGGACATAGTAATGATTTACTTATCTATGGTAAGCTTACTATGTCCTCAGTTATTTACAAACACTCAGAAGTGTTTATGCTCCACTCTCCATCCTGTCTGCTCCGCCTGTCAGGCATTTATTGCTCCACTCTCCATCCCTGACTTCTCCACTCTCCATCCCTGACTTCTCCACTCTCCATCCTGTCTGCTCCCCTCTCCATCCTGTCTGCTCCGCCTGTCAGGCATTTATTGCTCCACTGTCCATCCCTGTCTGCTCCACTCTCCATCCTGTCTGCTCCGCCTGTCAGGCATTTAGTGCTCCACTGCCCATCCTGACTGCTCCATTGCCCATCCTGACTGCTCCACTGCCCATCCTGACTGCTTCACTGCCCATCCTGACTGCTCCACTGCCCATCCTGACTGCTCCACTGCCCATCCTGACTGCTTCACTTCATTTCTGCCATGGTCTTATGTGAATTTGTAGGTTCCTATTTGTATTCATATTGTCTCTCCTCTACTTTTTTGTTTCTAGGAAGAGCCTAAAGAGGGTGAATAAACGTCTTCTGAAGATTCTGCTGGAAGTAGTGAAGACCACAGGGGCGGTAGAGGAGACTATAGGGAGACATGTTGTCGGGCTGCTGGATAAATCAGGCCGGAGACAGTCCACGTCCAAGGTTCTTGTCTGGAGCCTGGAGCAGGGAGAGCTGCAGGCCGCATCTGCTGGGACGGTCACCGGTAAGCCTCATAGACTACATTTGTAACTGTGGAAACACGCTTACATACTCACAGAAACATACTGAAACATGTGGCTTATAAGGCAGAGAATAGCCGCTTCCATCAGAATGTAATTACATCGATTTTTTTGGGAGAGGCACAAAAACCTCAACAGCCAAGGTGACTCAAAGCCGATATATCAGTTATGTTTGGATGCTGGTGGTGTTCTTAAAGGGGACCCTCATGTTAAAATGACAACAATGTCACCTTTAGGGCCTGTTCACATGATATCAGGTCCTGATCAGGTGCGGATCTGCAGACTGATGCAGTGCGTTTTGGCCGTGTTTTTGATGCGTTCCAGTAAAAAAAAAATATATATATTTTTTTTGTTTTTGCTGGAGTGGAGCTGTCAGTATGTTAGCTGCAGTGCAGTGCGTTTTTGACGTGCTTTTGACGCGATTCCTGAGCATACAAAATGTGACATGCAGTATTTTTCTGTCTTAACCGCTGCGCACGTGAGAACTGTAGCCCATAAAACACATAGGGATACATTGGGATGCATTTTTAGTGCAGGAGCGTACGGATCAGGTCAGCACAGAAAACGGACGTTGTGTGAACAGGCCCTTAGAAATGTTTAGTAATGAAAGTCTACAAACACATACTTCTAGATAATTGCCGGCTTTGTACTCTTTGCAGACATTATTTCTCTTTCGTTCATTGGAGGACACAGTAGAGATCTTGAATTTCTTACCGTCTGGTTTTTAGCGCCACCTTTAGGAGTAGGACACTGGGCACAAAACAAAAGCTCAGCCTAGCGGCGGCTCCTAACAGTGGAGAGCTAGACGGTGGAGAGATAGACCTGACGGTGGAGACAGCTAGAAAGAGCTCAGTGGCATTCTCCCCATTCTTCTCACAGTGGCCATTTTTACTAAGGGCAGATTATTCCATCTCCCTTTACTTCCTGGATTTCTGGCACATGTGACTAGGACATGTGACCATGCACATCATCTCAGGGGAGGAAAATTCCTTTCAAATGAGATTTCCCAGCAATGCTCTACTGATGTAACCTTCCCAGAATGCTTTAGTGAGGCCAGAATTGCATCACTCATACCTAAGAGGACCAGGAAGTATAAAATAATAATTGTAAGTAAAAGCAAAATATGTTGTGTTTTTTTGTTTGTTTTGTTTAACTCAGTGGTTCTCAACCCTTCTAGGGCCGGGACCCCTTGGTAGCATTTGCCAAGCTGTGGTGACCCCAACGGTAACATTTAGGGATGACGCGGCTGCTGCAGCGACATCTGGCGGCGTGGCGGGAGAACTGACACTGCTGCGCTAGGAGAGGGCTGAGGAGGACTCTCACCTAGCACAGCAGAAATCACAGAGCGACCCCACAGGTTGAGAACCACTAGCAGCTAAAATGGCAAACCATATAACGCAAGCCGAGGGTGTCCGCTTTTATTATTAATAATAATGATGATAATCACTAGATGGGGACCTGATGGAGAACTGCAGGTCCCCCTCT